GGCGTCGCTGCCAACGGGCGGCGCTGCAGGGCCGACCTCGAGGCCCCCTTGAGAAGGCTGATTTGCCGGGGCAGGGCAACTGCAGCCACGCTCGCGCCCGAGCGGCGAAGGCGCCCGCCGAGACGGCGCAGAGCGGGCTGGAGCTCAACCGCCAGGGCGGATCGGCTGGAGGGCGAGGGCCGCCAGCGCCTCATGTGGGAGGCCATTGCGGAGGCGGACGCGCGGCAGCGGACGCGGCTCCCTCGGCCAGGGCGAGCGCTGAGGCATCAGACGGAGTGATTCCTACGACCAAGCCAGCTCGCGCAGGACCGCCAGGTGGGAGCGCCGCGGGGGCTGAGGCCCAGACGCACGTCAGGATGCCCGAGACCAGCAGGGGGCGCCAGAGGAGCTCGCGCTGGTCTCAGTCAATGCCAGCGCCTTGGCCGGCGGCCAAGCCTCCCTGGAGCGGAGCAATGACAAGCAGCAGGTGCATGGCGCGGCGTGCGCTCAGGGGGCCCGCGCCAAGTCGAGTCAGCGCCTGAGCGCTGCAGCTAGGCGGGCGCGGCGGTCGGGCCCCGACCTCTTCGGCGCGCTGGCAGTGGGGGCAGGGCCAGGGCCGCTCGACCGCCCGGGCGGGCCGGCAGCGCTCTCGGCAGTAGGGGCAGCGGCGGCGAGACCGTGGCTCTACACATGTGGCAAGAAGGAGCATGAGTTTGGCAGCGTGGCCGCAGTGCTTGCCCACCGAGTCGAGGCAGTTAAGGCCCTCGGCGATGCCCCGACCAGCCCGCATTCGCCGACCACTATCGCGCTCAGGGGGGCGCACATGCGGGCCACCATCACCAGGGCGCTCTACCCCAGCAGGTGCCCGAAGGGCCTGCCGCCGCCTACCCGGGAGGCGCCCCAACGGGAGCAGCTGGCCTTGGCTGATCGGGGTTGGCCCAGGGGACCTGGCTAGGGCCTCGGAGTTCTGGTTCATGGCGGAGGACGACCTGGGCAGGCTGCGCCGGCTGGACTGGCGTTCCCAGAGGGCGGCCTCCAGGTGGTCAAGGAGCCTTTGGCCCGCGCGTGGGACCTGACCCTGAAGGCGACCGCGAGCAAGGATCACAGGCCGTGGGCGAGCTTCGCGGCGGCCAGCAGGGGGCCGCCCTCGCGCGCGCCCACGAGAACGAGCGCGGATGGAACTGGCACTCCCGATTCGGCGGGCAGGCGCGGGCGAGGAGGTCCTTCGATTTCAGCGAGGTGGCTTGCCCACAGGAAGGCGACCTGGGACCACAGTGCCATTGCTTCGATGGAACTGCACGCTTACCACGCGCTGCTCGTGGGCATCACCGACGACGCCTGCGGGATGCGTGCCGGGGGCCGCCGGCGTCGCTCGGCGGAGCGGCGCGCGCGGGCATTGGAGGCGGCGCGCAAGGTGGGGGGCAGCGGGCCCACCGCTTCATCGAAGAACGCAACCCGATCCCACCCGCGCTGATCGAGCACGACGGCGAGGATACATGCGAGGGCCTGCCGTTTGCTGGCGACGCGGCCATGGCCTTCCTCACGCGGTAGTGGGAGGCCCCGTGGGTCCACGGACCGCGCCAAGGACGAGGGCCCCCTGGCGCGGGCGCGGCGCGGGCGAGGGGACTGGGCCAGCTTTCCGTCGATCACCTTAGACGAGCTGGGCGCCCTGCGTCGAGGCCACTGGCTTAGGCTGGGACAGAATGCTCCCGCGCCAACTCAGATGGGCCCTGTGCTGTGCCGCTAGGCTGTCCTGGGCACTGTCCACAGCTGGGAGCTCGACCCAAGGCGCGGGCCGCTGAGGCTACTCCTAGTCGCGTTCCTGCCCGAACACTCGCCAGGGGGAGTCAGGCCCGACCTCTTGGCCAGCACCTGGATAAGAGTGTGGTCCAAGTTGAGACAACCTATCGCAGCAGCCTAGGAGCGCAGGGTCGACGAGTCGTTCCACTGGGGGGCTGCAGGACGCGCGCGCGAGAAGGCGAGCTTCGTGCACGCTATGATGACCAGCTTCGCGAAGAAGACGGGGATGGCCTCACGGTGTACTACGAGCTCATCCGTCGCGAAGTCGCGAAGAGCTGCCCGAGCAGGCTGCGGAGACGAAGTTTCCGATGATCCTCCTGAGGGCGCCGCGCACCAACTCCCACCAGCCCAGGAGGGCCCTCCTGGGCACAGGGGTAGGGCCCCTGGCGGAGGCCAGCGGCGCTACGGCGGCTGGGTGTTACTGCGCAGCGGGCGTGGGCAATCTGCTGAGGTACACCCTCCTGCGCAACATAGTCCTGCGCTACCCGCTGGTGCGGGCCCAGAGCCTGGTGGACGACTGCCTCCAGGCGGTGGGCACGACTCGCCTTGTCGGCGACCAGCTCTCGCAAGCCGCCCGCGACCTGTTCGTCGGCTTGCAGGCTGGGCGCCTCAAGATCAACTGGGGCAAGGCGGGCTGGCTGGCCACGGACCCAGAGTTCGCGCAAGCGCTGGAGCAGGGCTGGGAAGCGCTGGGCTTCGGGAGTTGGAAGAGAAGCCTCCCCAGACCACCTACGCGGTGGGATTTCATCCCTGGCCCCTGGGCGGGCCCCCTGAGCAACGAGCCTCCTCTTCCTCCTCTCTCTCTTCTTCCTCCTCTTCATCCTCCTCCTCCTCCTCCATTCTTTTCCCTTGTACGTAATTTCTCCGTGTCGCACCCCGAGGCCAGTTTTTAGGGCGGGCCTGGCGTTTCGCCTGAGACGTCCTCACCGTTTATGACTCCGAAGCTGAAAACATGGCAACAGCTTCACATATGGAGGGTGGGTGGTTTTCAAACTGCGGTTCTCGCCTTAGCGCCGCGCGCATTCGTTCTAAACAGTTGTACGAACTTCACGGATTGAGGGTGGGCCGTTTTCAACATGCGGTTCTTGCCCTAGCGCCGCGCACATTCGTTGTTAAATTTTTGCCAGAGCTTCACGGATTGAGGGTGGGTCGTTTTCAACATGTGGTTGTCGCCTTAGCGCAGCGCGCATTCGTTTTTTTTTTTTTTTTTTTGAAAAAAATACAAGAGCTCCACGTATTGAGGGCGGGTGGTTTTCGAGCTTCACGGATTGAGGGCGGGCCGTTTTCAACATGTGGTTTTCGCCTTAGCGCCGCGCGCACTCGTTTTTTAAGTTGCAAGAGCTTTACGGATTGAGGGCGGTTCCTTTTCAAAATGCGGTTGTCGCCATAGCGCCGCGCACGCTCGTGTTCAACATTTGCAAGAGTTTGACGGGTTCCCATGACCAGCGTACAAGACATTGCGTTTTGAAAAGATTCATGATTATGCATGTGCAACAGTGATGTTGATTCGCAGTGTTGAACTCCAAAAACGGCGTTTTGGAATGGTTCCAGATCGTCACGACGCGCAAGTCAGGTCGATCTGAGGCGTGGCAATCCCGAGAACAATTTTCTGGCATGTTTCAAGGTTTTCAAACGGTTGTCTTCCAACGATGCAGTTCCCTCAATGGAAATGAACCGTTGTAGGGGCCTATGAAGAGGGAGCTTGGAGGGAGGATCACTTCCAACATCGTTGATGACTCTTGGATTTACAGTGGTCCTCCTCCTTCTCCTCCTTCTGTTCCTCCTCCTCGTCCTCCTGTTTCTCCTCCTCCTCCTTCTCCTCCTCCTTCCCCTCCTCCTCCCCCCTTGCGCCCTCCTCCTCCTCCTCCTCCTCCGCCTCCCCCCTCGCCTTCCTCTCCCCTCCCGGGGCCCCCGGGCGGCAAATCTTGGCGGAGCGCGCGCGTTACCGCCTGTTATTTCCCCCTCCTCCTGCCCCCCGCGACACGCCATGGAAGGCTAGACGCCTGGCGGATGGCGATGTTGGGCTGGCCCCTCAGGTCGGCGAAGGATTGAGAACCTCGGGCAGAAGCGAGAGGGCGAAGATCCGCCTTCCAAACATCCCCAACGCCGCTGCTTTCGCCGAGCGTCCCAGGGGCCGCATGCCGACCCGTGGCCGCTGCGACGTGGGAGACGGATGAAGCGTTGAAGTGGTATCGGGATCATTACAGTGGCGGCGCGCATCAAGAAACGATATGACTTTCGTCAGGGCATTTGGGGTTTCTTCGCTCCGCGAGCTGCGCGGTGACTTCCCGCAGCCGTTGAAGGAGCTGGTGCGTTCAGGGTGCTCTGGGTTTCCCCTCAGGTGATCCTCGCGCGCGGGTTTTCAGGGTTGGGTTTCTTGCGAGGGTTTCTTGTGGCCGCGCCCGCACTGTAGGCGCTTGACGTCAACGCCCCCACGATCACGCTGAAAGACCCCGGGAGACCCTCTACTTTAGACTTTGCGATCGCGTGTGGCTTCTTGCTTGAAGGAATCTGATTTGGATGAATCCGACATCGATGGGTGAGACGATCTGCTCCTGGCTGAGATCAGGAGGCAAGACGAGGCCTGTTATCGGACAGAGAGAAGCGATTCCTCCGCGGAAGGAAAAATCGCGAGGGTCATCCTCCAACGCGCGTCGGTGCGATTTGATCCCAAGTCCGCGTGCTCGTTCGACGGTTTTCCCACCCGTATGATAGTGGAGTCGAGGGGGCGGGGGGGGGCGACGAAGAGTGGATTCGCCTCCTCTACGCTCGGAAGAACATGTTGAGCCAGAAGCCGGAACCCAGCGAGGACACGTGGCCTGTTCTTCGGTCGCACTACTCCGATCAGCTTAGAGAATGCCCCCCGATTGGCAAGTTGGCCGTGCTCGCAGACATCAGTGTGTTTGCTTGTTTGTGTGTATGTGTGTGTGTGTGAATTTGTTTATGTCTCTCTCTCTCTCTTTCTCCATGCATCTCTGCCTCTCCGGAATGCTGCCCGTTCCTAGCTCAGACAGGTTTGTTTGTTCTGCGGGCTCGTGGACGCTGAACACTCGCACAGCAATCTAGCAATGGGCGATACATGCTCCACACAAGAGAACCCCGAGTTCGTGGCCGCGCGTGCCAATCACCCGAGCATAAACAGTTTGTATGACACCTGTGAGTTCGATGGGAAGGCTATCTTTGGGGAGAAAGGCCGGTATGCATCTCTCGAGTCCTTGCAGATGCTTGACACCCCAACAAATGAAAAGCCCTTCAACAGAATTACCGAGTTGATGACGAAGACTTTCAAGACGCCGGTCTCCCTTATCACACTGGTGGCGGACCCATCGCGAGTGTGGTTTAAGAGTAAGGTTGGACCGTTTGGGGCATGTGTGGATCGGGATGGTTCGTGGTGCAACTACGTGCTGGTTCCCTCGACACCAGAGATCCTCATAACAGAGGATGCCAGCAAGGATGCGCGTCTTGCACATAATCCCTATGTGGCTGGCGAGCCTTTCATTAAATTCTATGCTGGTGCGCCGCTTGTGGGCTCGCACGGTGAGCGCTATGGCACACTGTGCATCGTGGACCTGAAACAACGTGCTTTTACCGCGGAGATGTACGCGTTGCTCAACAATTTCGCTGCGCTTGCAGTGGAAGAAATTGAGCGCAACAAGCCGCTCATGGACATCGTTGACGAAGCATCTCACAATGACGTATCAAGGAACCGCAGCTTGGACATGTCCTTGACCGCTTCGCGCGATGGCGTCATCATGCTTGATGTGCGCGAAAGCGGCTGGCCCATCAGCTATGCCAACCCAGCGTTCGAATCTTCCTCGGGGCTGGACATAGACGACCTGGCTGGGAGTGACTTCTGGGAGCTCTTCGAAGGCGAGGGGAAGGATGAGCTGGATATTGCGAAGATCCTCGGCGTCGGTGATGCGTTCGAGATGAGTTTCTTCTGCGAGAAGTCAAAACGCTGGCTCACCCTCAAGCTGATGCCAGCCACCTCTGACCGGCTGGCCCCTAGCAAGGCCACTGGTATCCCCAGCTGGGTGCCGAGCGCGTATGACCCACCGGACACCAAGCTGGGCTTTGACGTGGATGATGACAAGAAGGTTGAGGTCACCAAGCGCCAACAAAGCGAACTCATGGATGTGGCAGACGCCAAATGCTTTTGGTTCGCCATCGTTCTCTCCGCCGAATCTGACGCGTCCACAGCATATGGGTCGGAGGGAAAATCTTCCGGGGCAAGAACTTCCAGTGGAAGGCGGTCGACTGAAGCGTCCTCAGGCAAGGGAGGAGCATTCGACGGCTACCAGTCTGGCTTTGGCGAGTACAACCCACCCACGGAATTGAGCCAGCTCCAATTGGGGCCGCTGCTGGGGAGTGGCAGCTTCGGAAAAGTGTACCGGGGCACCAGTGACGGCACTGCCGTGGCCGTCAAGCTGATCGATTGCCGGGGCCGTGAAGAGGGCGCGACTGACGATCAGCTCGCCGAGGTACAGCTGACCTGTGATTTGGACCACCCAGGAGTCGTCAAGATTCTGGCGCACGGGGTCTCGACTGCGAAGTCTGGTCGCCATGAGATTAAAGTCGTGTGGATTGTACAAGAGCTTTGCAACATGGGCACCCTTCATGATGCAGCAGAGCGCGGTTGGCTGCGGGTGAAGCGCAAGATCACTGCGCCGCCTGACATGGCTACTGTACTTCCGACCCTCCGCGACATTGCGGACGCTATGGCCTACGTGCATGACAAGTCCATCATCCATGCCGACCTCAATGGCCGCAACGTGTTGCTTACCAGCTCAGCTTCCGACCCACGTGGCTTCGTGGCCAAAGTCTGTGACTTCGGCATGTCACGGTTGACGAAGGACGGTCTCATCCTTAGCGGCTTCTGGCTTCGTATTGTGGTGTTTTGGCCGCGCCTTTTGACATTGTGCATTTTGAGATCACGCGTTAGAATCCCATGGGAAATGTACCCAGGTAATTGCGGCAAATCCCGCCACCTTGCCCGTTCAGGGTAGCAGGAGGCTGGATACTGAGTGGCTGAAATGTTGTTGGGTGCTGTGTGCGGACTCCCGGGATGGATGGGTGATGATTGTGGTGATGATGGGTAGGAGTAGGAGGATGAGGAGGCGGACGATGATAAAGATGACGAGAATTATGTGGTGATGACGACAACCACAATGATGATGCTGTTGATGATGATTAATGAGGATGGTGATAACGATGATGATGTTTGTGATGGTGATGGTGATAGAGAGATGCTGATAATGGTGCTGATGACGATGATGGTGATGATCATGATGATGGTAATGATTATCATGATGATGACGATGATGATGATTGTTATGATGATGGTGATGGTACTGATGATGATGATGATGATCATGGTGATGGTCATGATCATGATCATGACGATGATGATGATGATGATGTTGGTGGTGGTGATGGTGATGGTGATCGCGATTGTGATGACGATGATGCTGATGCTGATTGTGGTGATGATGGTGGTGATGATGATGATGATGTTGATGGTGATGGTGATGGAGATGATAATGAGGATGAGGATACTGTGATGCTGCTGATGATGATGATCGTGATGCTGATGATGATGATGACGATGATGATGTTTGTGATGGTGATGGTGACAGAGAGATGATGGTAATGATGCTGATGATGACGATGATGACGATGATGGTAATGATGATCATGATAATGATGATGCTGATGATTATGATGATGACGATGATGATGATTGTTATGATGATGGCGATGCTGATGATGATCATGATGATGATCATGATCATGATCATGGTGATGATGATGATGATGATGGTGGTGGTGATGGTGATGGTAATTGTGATTGTGATGACGATGATGCTGATGCTGATTGTGGTGATGATGGTGGTGATGCTGATGTTGATGTTGATGGTGATGAAGATGATGACGAGGATGAGGATACTGATGATGATGTTGGTGATGCTGATGATGATGATGATCGTGATGCTGATGATGATGATGGTGGTAATTGTGATGATGATGCTGCTGATGATGATGATGATGATGGTGGTGATGAGGATGGTGATGCTGTGTTTGATGATGGTGATGACGATTGTGATGCTGATGGTGATGATAATGATGATGATGATGATGATGGCGATGATGATGATCATGATCATGATCATGCTGATGGTGATGACGATCATGGGCATGATCATGAGCATGATAATGATGTTGCTGATACTGATGATGATGTTGTTACTGTTGATGATGGTACTGGTGATGATGATAATGATACTGATGATGATGACGATGATGGTGATTGTGATGATGATGGTGGTGATGGGGATGATGATGGTGCTGTGTGTTGATGATGATGATGACGATTGTGGTGCTGATGGTAATGATTATGATGACGATGATGCTGATGATGATGACGAGGTCGATCATGATCATGATCATGATCATGATGATGTTGATGACGATCATGGCCATGATCATGAGAATGATGATGAAGATGATGATGATGATGATGCGGGTGATGATGAAGCTGATGATGATGATGGTGGTGATGATACTGATGATGATGATGATGATGATGATGATGATGCTGATGATGATGCTGATGCTGATGATGCTGATGATGATGATGATGACGCGGCCGTTACATGTGACACCTCTTGCACGGATATGTCCAGAAGGCTGTAAACGTGTTCTGTTCGAACGCCTATGCATGCGCTGCACCTGGTAACGCTTGGAGCAACGCACCAAAGGTTGTGACATGTGACGCCTCGGCAGTTTTGATGATAGATTTGGGGTTCGTGGGCCGAGTTGGGCCAGAGTAGCAGGGCGAGTAACATCATGAAGACGACGAGAAGGGTAAGGGCGCAAGATGTGACACCTCTTGTCCCGAGATCTCCGAGCAGCTATAGACAGATCGACATATCTTGCCAGGACGCCGTCGAAAAGCCGTACACGGTTAGCTCTCGAGCTCCGCCAAATGCATTCTGTGCGGCGACGGGAAGAGCAGCGCCCACAAAGCTGTGAAATGTGACACCTCGGCCGTTCTGGGGTTGGTTTGGAGCGTGTCAAGCCTTCCTGGGACGGAGCAGGAGGATCAAGTACATTGATGAGGAGGAGGAGGAGGAGGACGACGACGACGAGAAGGAGGAGGAGGAGGAGGAGCAGGAGGAGGGGGAGGAGGGGGACTCGTGCGGACGAGGAGAAGGATGACGATGAAAATGATGATGATGATGATGCTGATGATGATGATGATGATGATGATGATGATGATGATGATGATGAGGATGAGGATGAGGATGAGGATGAGGATGAGGATGAGGATGAGGATGAGGATGAGGATGAGGATGAGGATGGTGATGGTGATGCTGATGCTGATGCTGATGCTGATGTTTATGCTGCTGGTGACGGTGACTAGGAGGAGGAAGAGGAGGAGGAGAAGGAGAAGGGGGTGTAGAACGAGGAAGAGGAAGTCCGTATCATGTGGGCATCTTGTTGGGTGGGTTACAGCAACCCGTAAACGTTTCCCTTTCGAGCGCCCCCGAATGTTCTCTGTCCAGCAATGTTTGGAGCAACGCCAAGACTTCCGTCGCATGTGTCATTTCGGCCGTCTTGAGGCCATCTCGGGTTTATGTAAGTTAGTCTTAGGGCGAATGCGGAGGATGAGGAAACTCACGAGAATGAGGCGGAGGATGAGGAGGAGCAGGAGGCGGAGGAGGAGGAAGGATACACATGTGACGAATGAGCCCTGTACCCGATGATCCCGATGAGGAATCTAATTTCTGTGGCATGTGACATGCATCCTGGTCCGCTGAAAGCCGTGAGCGGCTAACTCTCGAGCGGCTCTAGATGTATTCTGTGCGGCGACAGTTGGATCAACACCCAGAAAGCCGTTTCATTGGACTCATCGGCCATCTTGAGGCCATATTCGATTGCTTGAGGCCGTCCTGTGGTGCAGTAGGAAGATGAGGACTCTGATGAGGTGGAGGAGGAAGGCCGTCACGTGTGACATCCCTCGTCTCCACTCCTTGAGGGGCTCCCACGGGGCTTACATGGGCCAGTTTGAGGCTGTCTTGAGCTCCTGTGGGGCAGTATTGGGGGTCACTTGGGGCTCCCTTGTCTTGTGCTGTCTTGGGGCCGTCTTGTGCCATCTTGGGGCTTCCTTGTGTCGTCTTGAGGCCCTTGTGGCCGTCTGGGGGATCTCTTGGGGCCGTCGAGGGGCCGTCTTGGGACCGACTTGGTCCGTTTAGGGCCCCTCTTAGGCCATCTTGGGTCTCTCCAGCAAATCCTTTTGGTCTGAATCTCTCCTGGAGTAGTCCTGGGCTGTAACGCTTGTTTTATGTTGTGAATTGCCTCGCTCATTCCGCAGGCCCATGCTGTACGTAGTGTTCGGTGGCTGTCGGCCAGACGGGGTTGTGGACAACATGTCTTCTTGTGAGGCTTGTTGGGGTCTCGTGGGAAGCCTCGTGACGGTGTTGGACACCACCCGCTGTGAATCCGTGAAGCTCTTGCACATGTTTGAAACGAACGTGCGCGGCGCTAAGGCGAGAGCCACATTTTGAAAGCGACTGGCCCTCAATCCGTGAAAGAACTTGTTATCACGAACGTGCGCGGCGCTGAGGCGAGAGCCACATTTTGGAAACGATCCGCCCTGAATCCGTAAAGCTCTTGCAGCTGTTTAAAACGGCGAATAAAGGCGAGAGTCACATTTTGAAAACGACCCGCCCTCCATTTGTGTAACTGTGATAAGTTGTTCAGTATCAGAGGTCATAAATGGTGAGGAAGTCTTAGGCGAAACGCCCAGACCGTCTTTTCGACCAGCCTCGGGGTGCGACAGGGAGGAATTTCAGGAACAGAAGTGGAGCAGTAAGAGCAGAAGGAGAAAGGAGGAGAAAGGAGGAGGAGGAGGAAGCAGGACACGAGACGAGACAGAGACGTAGGCCGTCATGGAGTTCCTCGTGCCTTGTATCGATGCCGTCTTGAGCCTTCCTGGGCTCCGCTCGGACAACTCTTGAGGGCGGCAACGCTTCGAGCATCCCGTAGCAGGCGGGCGCATGTGACGCGTCTTTCGTCTCTATTCTTGGAGGGGCTCTCGATGAGGCTTGCATGGGCCATCTTGGAGCTCTTTGGTCTTTGGGTCCCCTGGGCCCCTCTCGGACATCTCTTTTCGGCGGCGATGCTGACAGCGCTGCCCAGGCGCCACACATGACGCATCCTCGGTGTGGGGACGCGTCGAGCTTCGTCAAGAAGGCCATAACATGTAGAGGAGGAGGAGGAGGAGGAGGAGGAGGAGGAGGAGGAGGAGGAGGCGCTGCAAGACGGCCCACGAGGCCCCGTCGACCGCCCCCAAAACTGCCAGGGAGGCCTCCTACGAGGGCCCCATGACGACCCAAAAGGGTTCCACGACGGCCCAAAGAAAGGCCCAAGACGGCCAAAGACGCCCGAAGAGGGCCCCAAGAGAGGCCAAGAGGAAGTACACGAATCGAAAATCCGATCCCTCCGTCCCAAGAGACCCCTCAAAAGCTCCAAGAAGCCCCCAAGCGGCCCAGAAGAGGCCCCCCCAAAGCCCCAAGAGGCCCCCAAGAGGCCCAACAGGTACCCCAAAACGGCACCCGGGACGCTTCAAGACTGCTTCCAAGAGGCTAGGCCCCCAAGCAATTCCCAAGGCGCCCACAAGAGTCCCCAAGTAGGGCCCAAGAAGCCCACGACGCCTCAACCGTGGACTCCCCGCCTCTTCTGGGGGTCGGCGGAACGGTGTAAGCCTCCTCGTGTGCGTGTGCGTTTGCGTGTGCGTGTGCGTGTGCGTGTGCGTGTGCGTGTGCGTGTGCGTGTGCGTGTGCGTGTGCGTGTGC